TGACAGCTTACTAGTATTTGTCGGCAAAGTTTACAATCGGCAAAGAAGGAAATTCAAGCACAAAGACGCAAATTATTAGATTAAAAGATAATATTATTTGATAACTAAGAATTGATTCTATTACCTAATTTATCAGTCTTTCAAAGAGGTGCACAGAGACAGTGGTGTACTTTTGTTGTTCCTAAAAGTATTACAATTAAATGAGGACCAAACATTTATCATAAAAAGTTTGAGTTATGAATCAAAAAAAATAATTTTCTTCTAACTTACACACTCTGTGGTACAAGCCAGATGCCCAGCAGAAAGATGCCAAGCTTCCACATGTTTGTAGACAATCTGAAAGAATTGGAAAAGAAAAGCATAAAAGTCAAATACAGCCATTTTATTTATGCGCGAAAATACATTAAGTAAAAAGAAAAAGAAGACAATATCCTTGAAATTTTGACATGAAAGGAGTTTTTTATATTATTATTATTATTTCTTTTGATTTCTGTTGTATATACATTTCTTTCCGGGTCCTAACCAGAGACCTAAGGTCAGAAATGGCATCATGATATTTTCCACTGAGCATCTTTTGAGAAAAAAAAATAGAAAAACCCAAAACACATTTTATATAGGTATAAAAGTAAGATGTGAGCTGAACTAGTGAGTACAATTTTTTTGTATTTCTTTAAGGCTTGGGCTATCACAGTTCAATGAGTTTATCGGAACTTTTTCCAATCAAACCGAGGGCTCCAACTACAACTGGAATTGTTGATGTCCTTATGTGCCACATTATTGAGATTTCGATTTCAAGATCCTTATATTTTAATACTTATTTGAAGATCTTCAAACAAACATTATTATTATTATTATTAATATTATTATTCGGCTTGTTCTTTACTTTCTTAGTTTGTTAGCGTGTACGTTACGTCCTGTCAATACCTCATAAAAACTGAACTATTCCGTTTTGATAGCGAGGAAAGACGGAAAAGACATATCAGAGATGCTTTTTGGTTTTAGTGAGAAAAATAAATAAAGATAGAATGAAAGGGAAGAGAGAAGAGACGATAACACTTTCAGGTGTTTAACGTCTGCTTCAGTGGAATGGAAAATCCTGCCAGTTTCAAAACTTTCCATTTATACCGTCTTCTTTTAATAACGACCAGCATTCATATTTATGATTGTTGTTGCAATATTTTGTTAAAGTTGTTGAGTTCAAATATTTACCGATGCTATAGGGAAATTTCATCAAGTAGTTTACAGATGTGAAACTCGTCATGAGTTTTTTCAATCATTAACTTAAGAATTAAGGTTCATCAGAATATTAAAATAGGAAAACCGTGAAATTTTCTCCAGTATTTCTAATTATTATACACTGATCATTTTTGTAAAAGAAAAACAAAAAAACAAAAAAAAAAAAAAAACAAGACCTAAGACCCTATAAAATTGTTACAGGTCCTCTCTCTGTAACCGAGTTTGACGATAAGACCTGAACATTATTATTATTTCCTTTGATTTCTGTTGTATACACATTTCTTTCTGGGTTCCAACCAAGGACCTAGGGTCAGAAATGGCATCATGATATTTTCCACTGACCATTTTTCAGAAAAAAAAAACACTCCCATCTAGATCAGTTATATTTTACATAGATAAAGACCCTCGTAAGGTGTGGGCTGGACTTGTGAGTACAATGTTTTGTATTTCTTTAAAACTTGGCCTATCAGGAATCAGTTCAACGAGTCTATCGAAACCATTTCCAATAAATCCGAGGGCTCCAACTATAATTGGAATTATTGATGTCCTCATCTGCCTTATTTTGAGATTTTCATCTTATGTTCTTTGTATTTTGATATTTTTTGAAGATCTTCAAAGATACATTGCAGTCTGTAGGGACTGTCCTATCAATAAGAATTATTATTATTATGATTATTTCTGGTATGGTCATACTACCTACCAAATCAGCGGGAAGACCGAAGACATGTAGTGGTGTGTTATGGCTAAATTTCATGATTTGTTTTTCTAACTCCCATAACATTACCAGCATTACATGGACAAAGTTCTTCTTAGTGTGTGGGCTCTATTTATCAAGACAATGTTTTGTATTTCTCTTAAGCTGGGATTTCCAGGAATTTTTTTCAATGAATTGATGTGTTCCTTTTTTATCATTCTAAGCAAACCTACAATGTCTAGTACTATTCTTATTTTCAATTTATACACTTTTTTCTATTTCGATTTCCAGGTCTTCGATAGTTTCCCAAATTCCTTGGATGCTATGTTACAGTCCACTGAGCAAGGCATATCAATTAGTAGGTATGTTTTTTTCTTTTCAGTTTTTGACATTTAAGTCCGGCCTAATTGCTTCAATCTTGCTGTCTGTAAAGATTGCGTAATCCCATAGAATTGTGATGTCTTTTATTTCTGTAAACGATGCTGGGTGATGTTCATACCAGTGTTTATTAATATCTTATCCATAGTGTCTGCACATTGATTATTATTATTATTATTATTATTATTGTTATTATTATTATTATTATTTCCTTTGATTTCTGGTGTGTAAACATTTCTTTCCGGGTCCCGCCCAGAGATCTAAGGTTAGAAATGGCATCATGATATTTTCCACTGACCAATTAAAGAAACACACACACACACATATTTTACATGGATAAATCCCTTCGTAAGGTGTGGGCTGTATTCGTGAGAACAATTTTTTCTATTTCTTTAAGGCATAGGTTTCCAGGAACCCCTTCAATGAGTCTATTGGAATCTTTTCCAACCAATCCGAGGGCTACGACTACAACAGGGATTGTTGATGTTCCCATGAGCCACATTTTTGAGATTTCAGTATCAAGGTCGTTGTATTTTGATAGCTTTTTGAAGATCTTTAAATATTCATTGCAATTTGTAGGGACTGCCATATTAATAAGGAGGCATCCTTTTTTGTTTACGGTCTCTAATAACAATGTCCGGGCGGTTACCTTTGATTGTTCTGTCTGTGTGTATTGTGTAGTCCCATAAAATTGTAACAGCCCCTATCTCTGTAACCGGGTCTGGGTTATAATAATAATAATAATAATAATAATAATAATAATTATTATTATCTTCTTTCGCGCGGTTTTCAGTTCATCACATCGCACGACCTCAAACTTTTGTAGAATATTTACATTACCAATAATGCAGATATTTTGAAGCGTTGTGGTTCTATAATTTATTTCGATTTTCTCATTATTTGGTAAAAGATCGATGGCATATCATGATAATAATTGATATATCTTGGGCAATAGGGACCTGGATGTTCCACATTCTAGTAACTTCAACCCGGAAATCGGCGCATTTCTTTGTCAATTACTTTGATCTTGATATTGTCACCAGTACCTGGTACGCCAATGAGCAGACATTCTTTCGTTTCTTTGTCAATCGCGGTGATGCTTGAGTTGGTGGTCTCAAGGACGGGGGTCTGTTAGGATGTTGAAATCACACAAGATCTTGATTTGTATCTTCTCTATTCTAGCCAAATTCACGTCCATACTTCCTACATCGTCACCAGTGTATTATGTGAAGTCACTTTATCTTTCTGCACAAGCATTCCACATGCATTAATGTGGGTGACATTACCCAATTCCTTGCCACACAGCGTGCACGATTATTATGATTGTTGTTGCTGCTGTCATATTATTTACTAAACTGGCATTCTATGAGTAATCATTATTTTAATGGTGGTCAAAAAATTCAGAGTTGGTTATTAAATAGAGAATTTCCAAGCGTAGCTTAGATGTGGCACAAGGCCGAAAGTATGGGGCTTCCAGTGAGGATCGAACTCACTTTTCAGTAGTAACTGATCTAGCAAGACAAGCTTGCTAACCATTACGCCACATTAAGTATGCCTCAATTTTAACCCTTTCTTTGCACACCACACAAAATTTTCTTTAATATTTGTGAGACTAAAATCAAACAAGTACACAAATTTAAATAAATGGGAAGTGTTTTAATAAAAGACGGAAATGCTTCACTGAAATCCGAAGACGCATTGGAATAGCCAATGATGCATTGCAAATACTCAGCAGAGTATGAGAAAACAAAAGATTCGTTAGAAACAAAGAAAAGAGTACTGAATTGTTACGTAATATCTGTCCTCCTATGGCAGTGAATACTGAACAGTTTCCTCACAGATGAAGAAGAGACTTGAGACAGCAGAAATATTTCTACAGGAGGATGATGAAGATACCACAGACCGAATATTTGAGCATCGACGAAGTTTTCAATAATATTGGAAACAAAATGGAAACTTATACTTAACTCTAGGAAGAGACAGCTGAAATTTCTAGGTCACATAATGAGGTAAGAGGGATTGGAATTCTACTAACAGAACAAATTGAAGGCAAGAGAGACAGATGAAAACAATGCATTAACTACTGAGTAAGATGGAGTAAATGGATGGAGAAACAAATTTTAGGAGAGATAACAAAAAGATAAAATTTATTTAGAGCTACAAAGTGCAGGAATGTGTGGAGAGCCATGATCGCTAACGTCTTGAAGGGACTTGACACATAGAATAAGAATAAGAATCAAATTATTATGATTAGTCATATAGTTTTCTGAATGTCTCTGTCAAGTAACTACAAGGAGTTTCTGGTGTTAGTCATAATATTTGTATGAATTACAAGCACTTGACTTAAAGACTATCTGCAACGCAAAGATCCTAGTAATGTTTTTGTGAGTGTTGTCGTATAAGAGACTCTAGGTAGATATAAATTTGTTTTTTTTTTACAGCTTATCAACCCTTTTCAGGTTATTTAAAGCCATAACATATTTTGGGCTTGTAAGAATATTTGGAGATAATAATGATTTACAAATGAATGTCCTTCTATTTACCCCATAGCTGGGAGAGAAGAGGTAAATCCATACCTTCCCCGAGGGTATTTGCGCGTAAGTGAATATGACAAACCCGACTGGAATTGAAACTCGGTTCTCCGATTTTCAATTCCCGGCCGTTATCCATTACACAACCCACGCATCCAAACTTACAGCATCTGGTATTCCCAAGTGGTTGACCATCTAGGTACTGTCCAGGCTCAACGTTGCTTAACTTTTGTGATCGGATGAGAAACGGTAAGAATATACTCTAAAAACAAAAGGAATATACACTAAAACAAATGTAATCTTATTTTAACAAATATTCACGGACGCACATGTCGCCTCACCGAGGAATAGTGGTTAACACATTTACACTATCTTGTTGAGTATTAATATTAGTTGATATGTTTGATTCTCACTTGGTTCCACACACTTAAATTGCCATCAAAGATTTCTTATTGCTTCAACCCTCTAATAGTACAGTGGGGTGTTTGAATACTACACACAATGTTTGTCAGGTTTTAGTCCTAATATTTCTGTGAATTACAAGCAGTTTTATTTGTTTACCTATTTTTGTATATTTGTATTTTTTAGACTAAAATATTCACTTTTTTAATATTAACTTAAATTCATTTTTCAAATTAAAAACATATGTATTGTTTTCGCTTTTATGTATCCTATAAAATCACAATGTACACTCAAGACAATTATTTAACAAGAAAATTAAGAGCTGAATCATATACCGTACTTGCTGGCATCAAGAACGCAGTTTCCTTCCTGAAATAATTCCCGAAAATTCTGGCATAGATAGCCTCCTTCTGGGATTAGTACAGGCCCAAGATAACCCTATCCCTTCGTCCTAAAGGACGTACGGCAAATATTCAAGATTTATCAGGAAAGAAACTGAGTCCTTGACGCTGGCAAATATCTTTTAAATAGTGTGTTCGAGAAAACCACGGTACTAATGCTATGGCAATGCGCCACAGTATTAACAGAGGCTTAAATAGCATATAAGCCTGATGCTGGACTTACCGATAAGATAAAGAAGCTTTGGGTCACATATCATTGGACCCTGATATTTATAAAATATTTTTTTGTCATTTTATTTTTAACACTAAGTCATCGAAGTTATATATATTTTTATTCTTTATTGTTAACATTAATATAAAAAATAATAATTATAGTAATAGTGACAACAAATGTAAAATACTTTGACGACTATATATATATATATATATATATATATATATAAAGAAATATAGGTTTAACGTGTGCTATATTTATGCGATAAAGTGCTCAATATCAAGGATAGAGCGTATGTAAATATAAACGTGAACATGTTAGACACAATCGTCAGGACGCCTGATGATTGCGTCTAGCATGAGACAGCCTGTCGCCTCTGAGTGTTGAATTCAATTTTCATATATATATATATATATATATATATATATATATATATATATATATATATATATTCTTCACGTTTGACTAGAGACTGAGCGTTATACAATTAAATTTTGATGAAAATATCTGGTTAGATATGTTAGTATTAGGCAGGTCTATTTTTACTAGAGTGTTTCGTGAGGTTGGGGTATTAAGATTGAGTTATAGGTTGGGAAGAGGGAAAGACGTCTCGCGTGTTGCATGTTGTAGCAACAATTGGCGGATCACGTGGTCGAGTGTTGAAAGACGTGACTATGTTTGGAATATGATGTGATGAAAACGAAGAAAGAGAAAGAGAAAGAAAGAAAAAAGAGAGGGAAAGTTATAAAAATAAAATATTTTTTAATAAAATAAATGAAAAGAATAAAGTGAAGGAACAAAAATCTAGATAAAAATTTCAAAATCTATTGTTAATAAAAAAGGGTTTAATAAAATAAAAGAAATACTGACAGCAAAAAGCGGATACTTATATAGATGCATATGCGTACATATGTGCACAACTGTGTAAATATACACAAGCCATCACACAAACTTATACATCTTCATACACGTATAGATAAAAATACATGTATAAAATTAATATGTATCTTCACTAACATTGCCCTCTCCTTACATAAGTTTATACGTAAAGAAACCATAGTGGTTGGATTTAAGCCTGGGCGGTGTGATATGAAGGACAGGCTGTTGCCCACGTAGTACATCTCTCCCTTTTCACTTCACCGGTGAGACCAAAGGAACGACAGAGTCGCTATAATTTGGGACCGGTGCCGTCGCAGGAGCTGCCAGAACGGGTTGGCCTTAGAGTTTCCGTCTTCGGATTTTTCCCCGAGGTTTACTCTTGAGGCCTTTTCTGTGACTGGATATGGCTGCAAGGTAGCGGATGTTTGAAATAAGGGATTCCCTTCCCCTAGTCGTATTGCCATCCCAGGCTATCGAGCTCCACCTACCCGATGCCGGTTGTAGTTTAACGTCATGCCCAGGACCATAGTCATAGAACCATAGTGATAGAATTAAAGATGGTATAAAGAGGGTGACTGGAAAGTAGCCCTTTGTGGACAGGGCAATCGTTCTGTTGCTGTAGTGCGTCATGAGAGAAGTCATAGGTGGTAAAACATAAAATATAGGTAATAGCTGTTAAAATTTAGGGGAAAAAAACGAGGGATGGGAGTGACTTATCCGAAGAATAGTGTTGCTGATTATGGCTTTGCTGATTATGGCCGAACCAAGACGCTAAGAGCACGCCTCCCAACGTCGTCGATGCAATGACCAGGTTGGTTGAAGTGTACAGAGACCGGTTAATTGTTGTTGCTGTCCCTGAGGTTTTTTTGTCGTTAGTAAACCGTAAACGGAACACTCTTCCGGTTTCTCCCACATAATCTCCTTCTCGCATTAAGGCCAGAAAAGTATATATATATATATATATATATATATATATATATATATATATATATCAATTGAAATAAATCAATGAATTAGTTAAAAAGAAAATTTTGTAATTAATTTAATTTTGTAATCATTAATAAATAATAATTATGCATAATTATTTCAAATTTTTCACCTGAATTTTTTTGAAAGGGGATCGATTTTCATATAGCTTAGAGGCTCAGCAGGTGAAAGTTTGGCCTGTATAAATCTACTTCAAAAACCTTCGAATGTAAAAACATATATTTATGGTATTAATAGTATTGATCAAGCACATCTAAAACAAACTGATGCACCATGAAAAGAAGAAATTATGCAAACAAATATATACATGTAAAAAGAAAAGGAAATTTACATAAAGAGAGAAACTAAGTAATTATTGCTTTAGTTTAAAACCTTATATGGATATATAACTGGTATGTTTAATCTATATTATTGACCGCTATTAAAAAAAGGTTAAAATCATCGGTTTAAATTCATGATTATATTTTTAAGACTGAACTTTTTAAGACTAAATTTTCTTAGGTCGATTTTTTTATTTTTTTATTTTAGAATTATTATTTTAAATGAAATTTAACATAATGGTCTTTCATTAATTTCTTTTCTTTTAATTTCAATTTTTGTTATTGTCAGTATTTCTCTAAGGGTCTTCTGCTTGATTTCCATCACTTACTTTTTATTTCTAATATATTTCCATAATTGTTCAAATTGAATTTTCTAAGACCGACATTTCTTTGCTCTGATTTAACGCCGCTCTTCCGAGACCTAAAACTGTTTCGAATAAGTAAGACCCATTACTTATGTGTTTGCATATATATGAACGTCTGTTCATTCTCTTTCTTTCTCTCTTTTTTTAATGCCATGCTTTTCTTTCCTTTGCTATATATACGGATTCATTTCTCAAGAATTTGGCAAGTGCTTATTAGATTTGCTAGTGAGAGAATATATATATATATATATATATATATATATATATATATATATATATATGTGTGTGTGTGTGTTTAATTTTGTTTAATATAAATATATATGTATATCAACTAAGAGAGAGTATAAATTATATAAGCTCACAAAAACATATATATATATATATATGTGTGTTTGTATGCACTTCTTTTCATTGATAAAACACGTGAAACGCTGATAAAGACTGTATCTGTTTCTTATAATTGTTGCAAATTGGTTAAAATTATTGCATGAAGAGAAATCAACTGCAGCAAAGGAGAAATACAAAAACGGACAAAATACCCAAACAAAAATAATAAAAAACAAAAGACGCACGCTTTGATAGAACGAATGTAATTATTCAATATGGCTGCTTGACTATTGACTGGAAGGTAGCCCGTTTTTCTGAGGTTTCACTTTGACTGTTTCTTTCCAGCTTTTAACAATATTTATATTTTCCCAGCATCTCAGAAAATTACAGTGTGTAAAGAAAAGAAAAGAATGCAATTAATCAATCCAAATGGAATCCTGTAAACATTTACAAGCGACTGACTTCAACAAATCATACAGACTTAAAAAATGCAAGGAAAATAACTAAAAAAGTATTAAGAGATGTTGAATTTTGCATAGAAACTCAAAGAGATTGATATCTTTCTGTGAAAGTTGGTATATGCAAAAATATAATTATATACAGATATAATAAAAGACACGCTAATGTCAATCATACACACAGTAATTTTAGTCCAGCAAAATGTTAAGTATTAAATATAGTGACAGCAAATAATAACAGTTATGGATATGGCTACGCAAAAATACCTGAAGAGAGATACGGAATACCCAATACTCGCAGGCCAGAGCAAGTGCATACATCAAAACGCAGAAAAGCAACAGATGGTATCATTGCGAAGAAAAACATGAAATAGTCGAAATAGTGAAGCATTTAAAAGTGAATGTCGTAACCTAAGATGGAAAGAATACAAAAGAAGGAATGTCAGGGGTACAACAATTAGACACTAGGAAGTGTGCAAATGAATTGGACTCAACCATATATATATATAGGGAGGCACGGTGGAGCAGTGGATAGCGGCTTGGATTGAGGAATCGCAGAGCCGAGTTCGAATTCCAGTTACATTCACTTACGTGCTAATACCCTTGGGAAAGGTATGTATCCTCTTCATCTCCCTCCAGCTATGGGTAAAATAGCAGGACAGACTGGGTTCTATAGCCTTGGATGGCAACTGGTCTAGGAGAAGGACAACTCTGAATTCAAAACTTGCGGATGGTCGTTTGGGAACCTTGTGGCATGCATTCGGTGCACCAGGTTTCTGTATTCGTCCCTCCAAAAAGTGTGGCTGGTCCTGCACGAGGCCTTCACCACTATAAACAAATCTCATGTGCCGGTGTCGGGATGTCGGTTTCCTGGAGACTTATCGGCCTGACCCTCATA